AAAAGAGAATTGACTCTTGAAAATTACCCTCTGGGGGCTGGAGAGATGGCTCAGAGGTTAAGAACACTGACTGTTCTTCCAAAGGTCCTGAGTTCAATTCCCAGCAACCACATGGTGGTTCACAACCATCTATAATGAGATCTAGTGTGCAGACACACATGCAGGCAGAATGTGGTATAACAAATAAATAAATAAATAAATAAATAAATAAATAAATAAATAAATCTTAAAAAAAAAAAAAAGAAAGAAAGTTAGTTACCCTTTGATCTGTGTAGAACCACCTGCCCCTGGAATGTTGGCATTAAAGGCATGATGAGCCACCTCATGCAGCTCCTTTTTACATGTATTATGCTTACACTCTTTTTTTTAAAGACTTATTTATCATGCACAGTGTTCTGCCTTCATGTACACCTACATGCCAAAGGAGGGCCCCAGATCTCATTACAGATGGTTGAAAGCCACCACATGGTTTCTGGGAAATGAACTCAGGATCCCTGTCGAACAGCCAGCGCTTTCAACCAGAGCCGTATCTCCAGCCCAATGCTTGGTTTTCCCATTTGGCCTCCCAGACAAGCACTAACCAGGCCACACCCCGCTTAGCTTTCAAGATGATTGCACCATCAGGGTCCAGAGCTTGCAGATTTCAGTGGGATCTCCAAGAGTTCCCACTTGTTTTCTCACTACACAGAGGTCTGGAGGCAGAGTGTCACCAGGACCCTGACAAACTCAGTTTCTGAGGCTTCCCTGTATCATTGTAGTAGTAAGGAGCAGAACTAGGTCTCATTTTGTTTTGCCTCATATGCATTGTCAACATTTAAGATCTTGGTCTTTCCTTCTTGCCTTTGTACAGGGCCAAGAGAGACACACTGGCTACCTTAACAACCTTAAAGCAGACTCCAGAAATATCACCTACAGCATGACCTTTTTGACCAAATCCAGCAACCAGAACTTCCTCATTTTCCTCAATGAAGTTCAAGCAGCCGTCACTGAGCACGAATGCTATGATCTTCTAGCCGTTTTCGATCATCTGCACCCTGACACACTTCCAGATAAGCAGAATTTGGCTGTTTGGCTTCAACCCCTACTTTTTCCAGCACAATTCCCTTTGCATGAGAGGTACCTCCAAAGGGACTGGCCTTCGGGGCTGTGCCCAAGGGGACTTTCTTGTATTGTTTATCATGCCACTTCTGATGACTGCAGTACGGGGACCACGACACTTGCCCATCTTGCCGATGCCACAGGCCCAAGAAAAAGAACTATATCTATTATTTATTATTTAAATTTATTATTATTTTGTTATGTGTATGATGTTTTGATGGCATGTATTTCTGCCCCTGGAAGTCAGAAGATGCACTGGATCTCCTGGAACTGGAGTTACAGATGATTGTGAGCTGCCATGTAGGTGCTGGGAATTAAACTCAGGTTCTCTAGAATAGTAGCTAGTGCCCTTAACCGATGAGCCAAAGAACATAAACTTTTAAGATTTATTTACTTTTATTATGTGCATGACTGTTTTACCTACACTTATGCATTGTGCACTGCAAGTGTGCCTGGTGCCTACAGAGGTCAGAAGAAAGCATTGGATCATCTGAACCTGGAGCTACCGATAAACCACCATTTGGCCACTAGTAACTGAACCCAAGTCCTCTGCAAGAGCAGAAAGTGCTCTTACTTGCTAATACATCTCTCCAGCCCATAAAGTATATACAATAAAAACAAACTTTTAAAATAAGTAGAAAATCCACAGTAAACAGCCACAGCACATGCCATAGTACCCCACTGTAACTGAGTCAGTCAAGAGAACCATGAGGCGAGGCTTGGTGGTTCCACTTAGGAAGAAGCAGCAGAAGGATCTCTGTGAGTTCCAGGCCAGCCAGAACTACATAGTGCAAGCTTATTAAACAAAACAAACTAGGCAGCAAAGAAGAGGGAAAAGGGAAGATCAGGAGAACCCTGGGAAAGTAAACAGAGGGAAGGGGTGGGAGCCTCAAGGAAGAGGTCAAGAATAGACAAAGCTAGGGGGTAAGGGGTGCTGGGAGGAAGGGTGGTATGTCTTTTTTTTTTCCCCCAAGATTTATTTATTATGTATACAGTGTTCTACCTACAAACACATGCAGGTCAGAAGAGGGCACCAGATCTCCTTATAGATGGTTGGGAGCCACCATGTGGTTGCTGGGAATTGAACTCACGACCCCTGGAAGAGCAGATAGTGCTCTTAACTTCTGAGCCATCTCCCCAGTCCAAGGGTAGTATGTCTTAAGAGCAGGAGTCAATGTGGACTTCTCTCAAAGGCCTCAGGCAAGGAGAAGATGAAAAAAACAAGAGCTGGGTCTTAAATTAGTTAAGGATTTTGTTTTGTTTTTTGTTTGTTTGGTTGGTTGGTTTTTTTGAGACAGGGTTTCTCAATGTAACAAGAGCCCTGGCTGTCATGGACTCACTTTGTAGACCAATCTCAAACCCACAGAGATCCAACTGCTTCTGTCTCCAGAGTGCTGGGTTTAAAGGTGTGCACCACTACGACACCCGTAGATTTAACACCCGGCTGGTTAAAGCTTTTAATATCTTGGATCTGTCCTCTACAGGAGAATACCTTCAGAGGCTCAGCCCCCCCCCCACACACACACACACATCAAGCTTCAGCCCATTGTAGAGGTTGCCTGCACATAAGGTCCAGCATGTTCTTTTCTCCAAGGTTAGAAGAGTCAAAATATCCACCATGTTCTTGTTCCTCAGGTTGTGAAGGTTGAAGTTAACACCAAGGCCCATGGAGACCATCTAAAAAAATCACTGGCTGATAAAACAATAAATCCTATGGAGTGACCTGCAAATCAATGCAAGAAGCAACCTTCTGCCTTGCCTCCTCCATCATCACCCTAGTAGGTCTCCTTGGCTCGTCCCAAGCCAGCTTCACCTGCCTCCCTGCTCTTCTGCTAATCACACAATCAAGGTTGTTAAACAAGTCAGTGGGGGCTGGAGAGATGGTGAAGAGCACCCTCTGTCCTTCCAGAGGTCCTAAGTTCAATTCCCAGCAACCACATGGTGGCTCACAATATTGGGATCTGATGCCCTCTTTTGGCTTGCAGGTGGTCTGCAGAAAGAGCATTCATATATGTAAAATAAATAATAATAATAATAAAAAAAAGGTCAGAAGTCACTGCTCTAGGCCCTCCAACTCCTATTCCACTCCCTTAGACCCTATGTTCAGTTCCAAATGACTCTTCCCCACAAGTCTGGCCTTTGTCCTCAGCTTCAAGGTAAGTAATTTCTAGGTCCCTAGAATGTCCCTTCTCAGTTGTCTTTGTGGCTATCATGAAACCTCTTAAGGAAATGGATGCTAAAGTATTTGTCCAGAGCCTCAGGAGTTGCTGGAGACTGAAGGCAAGTTGATACATGAGGTTCAGCACTCAGAAGCGGAAGCAGGATTGCCAAGTTTGAAGACAGCCTGGACTACATTGCTAGATACTACCTCAAAACAAACAAACCAGAAACAAGTCTGGCAGACTGAGGCATGCCTGTAATTCTACAGGTAGAGACAGGAAGATCAGTTCATCATTCTTGGCTCCACTGAAATTGAGACAATACAACTCTAGTCACCTAAGGCTCAAGTGAGCTTCCTGCTTCCTTGTGACTTATGGCAAGGTGGTGTTGAATCCTGGGAGATGATAAGGGAAACCTTCCCACATCCCAGGCTCTGCCCATGCCCCTCTCCCTTTATCTCGTTGTCTACCCTTTTGCTAGTAAGACAATTCTGTGACTCATCCTAGCACATAGTGCTCCTAAGGGAGCTCATTAAACAGTGGTTTGGAGCTGGCACAGAGGCGCACACCGACATTCCCAGCAGAGGCAGATCTGTTTGAGGCCAGCCTTGTCTACAAAGCTGGCCTCAAACTCACAGAGATCCAGTATAGCCAAGGCTACACAGAGAAACTCTGCCTCAAAAAACAAACAAGGCTCTTGGAAAAGGGCAGTCCCACGGCCCGTGCAGTCTACCAAACCTCACATCCTCTGTGACTGCTTTATGAAGCCCTTTGTGATCTGCTCACCGAATAACCTTCATTTTTCACTCATTTACTCCTTCATGAGTACCAATCATTCTTCCATTCATATAACCACAAACTTCTCCAGACCTACCAGATATGTCAAACTTCTGACAGTGTAACCTGTTTGACTTTGTACCAGGCCACATGCATGGGTTAGTTCAAATCCTTGGTGTGACCTCCTCCAACCCCAACCCTCCTACTCCCAAAAGCATCTTTCCAGTTTTATTTGTGTGCTTTCCCTGAACCTGATGCCTGCAAAACCAGAAGTGGATATTGATCCCCTGGAATGGGGATAAATGATGGTTGAGCTACCATACAGGTACTGGGAACTATACTTGGGTCCTCTACAAAAGTATCTGGTACTCTTACACTCCATCTCTCTATCCCAACTTTTTCCTTCTTGATTATCCATATCCATCGCACGAAAATGTTTATTCCTTATTTCTTTATCTCCACACAAGAGACTACATGGAAGCACAGGTTTTGTCTAACTGGCTTTTTTCAGGAGTGGGGGTATGGCGCTAGGGATCAGTGTCCTGTGCATACCAGGGCCTCACCACCGACTGAAAGGGCTTTTCTTCTCTGCTGGAAGCCCCACAGGCCCTGTGTGCATTCTTCAAGCTATCCCACCCCCTTTTTTTTTTTTCTTGAAGAGACAAATGGCAGAGAGAGAGAAAGAGAGAGAGAGAGAGAACGAGAACTGACCACCAGGGATGGACACCTGTGCTAAGACAGATAAGGAAAAGCTGGAAATAACCAAGTCCCTAGAATGAGGTGTGGCTCCTGCTCCAGCCCTGACACCTCCTTGCTGTTAACCTTGTAAGGGCCCTTTTCTAGCCTTGGTCCCTAAATTATTAATAGCTGGAACAGCTGTATAGAACTAGCTGAGACTATTGGGGGCGGGGTAGGCCAAGAGAGGAAGAGAAATCCTATAATGAAGGATGAAGGGAAGACAGAATCTCATGAAGCAGGGGTGATTTTTATTTGAAGACAAAAACACCCAGTGTGAGAATTTGTATGTAATCTGCAAAAGTTAAAAAGAAAAAAAAAAAAAAAAAAAACAGAATTCAAATGGCCTGGGGAAAGGAGAAGGGGTCTGGACAGGTAGATCAGGCCACGTAAGGGAACTGTAACAGCAAGCCCTCATGAGGATTCAGGCTCAGGTTTTCCAGGTTCAGGGAGGCATCCTCCTCATGGCTTAGCCGGGCACTGTTGGTACTGAGAAACAGGTCAGCGCTGACTGGCAGGTTCATGCCATCAGGGAGGCTGGAGGACCCTAGCCTGGCTGACACGGCCACATCCTGAAAGTTGAGCACCACCAGGTAGCGCTCATTCTGGTCCCAGTGGCGGATGTAGGCGAAGAGGCCAGATGAGGAGGTCAGTGCATGGAAGTCTCCGTGTAACAGAGAGCGTTCCTTACCCCGAAGGTCACTCAGCCGCCGAAATTGGGTAAGGAGGGAGCCAGAGTCTTCATCCTGTCCCTGAAAATAGACATACACAGAAGGAAAGGAGGGGGTCTTTAGGCATCCGTAAGCCACCTGTCCACCATGAGGGTCAGGCTTAAACTGCTTACCTTCACTGTCATGTTGGAGCTTACAGGGCTGTGGGAGATGCTGGTCTCATCCCATGGCATGAATGGGGCCTCCACAGGCTAACAAACAGAGAGTATGGGACTTTAAAAGAGGGTGGATCTATTCTCCTTCTTCTCATTCTCGATATTTCCATTTCATCATTTTGTGCTGTTTTCTGCTGGTAGATGCCTTTGTGATAGCACCCTATCATGGCACCCAGTGCCTTGTTTGTCTGGACTGTCACTAAGCTACCAGTTCCCAGAGGGCTCAAATGGATGCAAAGTACCACTGTCCAATAAACGAATGTTGGCACCATTCTGAACATCTTACCAGACACCAGGCAATACCTTTGAAAATAGGTCTAGTGAGATGGTTCAATGGGTAAAAGCACTTTATATGCAAGCCTGACAACCTGAGTTTGGTCCCCAGAACCCACAGAAAGGCTGAAGGCAAGAACTTACTCCACAAAACTGTACTGATCCCTGTGTATGAACCTACATTTCCCCTCTCCCCCCACACATGTTGAGTTCCATTCCAGGAGAACAGATTACATGGTGTCTGAGGCCAGCCCAGGCTATACAATGAGTATGACAACAGGAAAACCCTGTTTAAAAGATATATACTTGCAACATAACCCACAGGATGACTGACAAGAAATCTAACAAAGTTCTACCTTAAGGCTGTTGTCTCTTGGCTGTCATCCACAGATGCCATTATGTGATACATAAAACAATACTATTTCCCACACTGTGCTGGGCAGAAGACAAGGGGTACCTGTCCAGGAAGGGCAGCTGCCTGCAGGCCAATCTCATCCCCATAGCTGAAAACAGGGGTCCCTGGCAGAGTAAAGAGCAGCAGCTGATAGAGTCGGAGAAGTTGAGCTGGTACAAAGGTCGTCATGAGTCCTGCCTGAGACACCTAAAGGAAGATATGCCTGTTGAGTACCTCCCACCCTAAAACCACCTTCCCTACAATAGCATGGTACTTACACTCCAACTGCACCAGTGACTGCCAGTGGCATTCAAATATCTAGTGACTAAGAATTCTGTATCCTCCCCAGTGAAACTGGAATTTGACAGGTATGAGCTAATCAACAGCAAGTCGTTGGTGGATTCAAGTATGCTCAAAATTTGCTGCAGGTCAGAGGACTCAGTCCCTGCAATCAAAAGCCTGCACAAAACAAGGACACAAGTGTCATTAGCAAACGGCAGGAGGTAAACTCCCCTCTTGGCTTTGAACTCCAAGGGGCTCTCATAACGGGCTCAGCCAGGCAGGGGTGTCAGGCACCTACCTATCCTCACTGAAGTTCTTGGTGATATTCTGCCATTCTGCCAAGTACAAGGATGAATCCTAGTAGGAAAAAAGCAGAATCAGAACAGAGAACATTACCTAGCCCTGGCTGAGACCCACTCTTCTCACCAAAACTTTGCCTCTCAATGCAGAAAGGACACTCACCTTCAGCTTTTCCACATCCCGAACTTGGAACCCATCTACACCATCCTGCAACCAAGAGCTCAGAGCTTCCTACAGGGGACAAAACAACAAAGGAAAAATCAATACACAAGCAAGCCCTTACCTACATCAAATTTCCCTCGACCCGTAGAAAACAGGGGTTTATTCTCAGTTTATTTTTTTAAGATTTATTTATTACATATATAGTGTTTTGTCTGCACAGAAGAGGGCACCAGATCTCACTATAGATGGTTGTGAGCCACCATGTGGTTGCTGGGAATTGAACTCAGGACCTCTGGAAGAAATTAACCCCTGAGCCATCTCTCCAGCCCCACTCTCCCAATTTCAAAGGTTAGCCCTTGGTTCCTCATCAATGCTTTGGTTATGCAATAGCATTTTTCTATGCTCTACTCTTGCCTTTGACAAATCACACAGCTTCATTTTTAACAACTATAGAAATGACACAAGAGAAAATTTGCATGCATAGCTCTAACATTTAACACTTAGTATATGGAATAAAAATATCTTCAAGTTAGAGACAAAGAAACAGGCTCAGAGAAGCAAGACATGGCTAAGATCATAATTGAGAACAGCAGAGATAGCACCTACCATACCAGTCAAAACCCTAAGGCAAATGTACTTGCTCCTTTCCTACTTTCCTGAGGCCTGCAGAGCCTGTGTTCTCCCACAAGAGCTGGTGGGAGCAACGCCAAGAACGAGAAAGTTTGAAATTCAAAACACAGCCTGAGGGATGTTAAGACATTTGAAAATAGGCCAGCTCTGCAGAACAGGCCCAGGCCTGAAGGTTTAAGCCCTGGCTTCAACTGGCACTCAGCACAGAACCCCACCCCCACTCCCTCTTTCTTCCCCTCTCATCTGCACTACTCCTTCATCTGAGGCTACCACCTGAAAACAGTACCAGTTACTTTTCTTTTTGACTGAAGACCAACTCATTACATAACTGAGACTGTGCTTTAACTTCTGATCCTCCTGCCTCCAACTCTCAAGTGCTAATATTACAGGCTTTCTCTAGTACTTTGAACTTCCTTATCATTAACTTTTAGCAGATTTCCTGAGTATAGGATCCCAGCACTTGGGAGACAAGAGGATTAAGAGCTCAAGGTCATCCAAGGCAACAAAGTTATAGAACACAAATCTCCCAGTAACTAACAAAAGCCAAACTTGCAAGAGCCTGGATGATTATGGGAGTCCTACCCACATGCTGATAATCCAAAATATGACTCCCTCAGAATCACAGCTGACAGTAAAGTGTCAGCATCTGCTTCTAGTTTGTCATGTCCATCCTGGACCTGCCAGTGTCCTAACACATAGACATCAAAAGCTAGGATGACGTTAGAAGATTTACCCTGGCCTGGTGGCTGCAGAGTTTGAGCCACTACCTCAAGGAAAGGCAGATTACTGAAGACTCCTTGAGACTGCAAGTCTGGAAAAGATGCAGTGACTGTGTTTCAATTTCCTCATTAACAGATTAGCAATAACAGGCATTTTGTGAGTTTACAGAAGAAATTAGATACAAGCTATAAAATACTTGGGATAGGGGGCTACAAAGATAGCTCAGTGGTTAAAGAGTGCTTGCTGCTCTTGCAGAGAACCCAGGTTCAGTTCTCAGCATCCATACAGCAGCTCACAACTCTGTAACTTCAGTGCCAGGGGAATCTAACACCCTCTTCTTGCTTCCTGGGATATCAGACATGCACATGGAGAATATACATACACATGTGAGCAAACACTCATATACATGAAAACAAATAAATCTTTAAAAAAAACTCATACTGGAGTTAAACTTTTTTCTTAAATAATAAAATACTTGACAAAATAAAATCCCAGGAACATCATAGTAAGACCCTAGTGCTTATAATTTCAAACTGGGCTCCATTCCAAACATATCAAACAGAAACCGGGAAGCCAGTCAGGTCAAGATTCCCACAGAGAAAGAAAAGACTTCCTGTCACAAAAAGAAAAATTAAAACTTCCAGACTGACATCTGAGAAATTCCCTTCCTGGCACAGCCTTGCTTCTAGAGTAAACGAAACACAAAAAAGAGCAGTCAGAAAAGAAATAGCTAGAAACACTGTGCACCATGGGATGGGAGGAGGGATTCCTACTTGTGAGAACCATGCTACGTGCACAGAGGATTGCTGTGAATGAATCCAAATAGCCCCAGCATCTATATGCCACCAGCCATAAAACTCACCTTCATTTTGGTGGCTACAATGTCAGCCTGAGCAGGGAGGAACCATGTATTCTGGCCCCGGTAGTTGGGAGTAAGGTCCAAAATGATGTGAATGCCTAGAACAAAAAAACCAGTTGAGAGAAATTCTTTGGGGTAATAAAAGGACAGAAGGAACTTGAACACAAGGCTGTATGTACACTATGAAGGGTTTGTACAAATGCTTAGACCTGAATGAACCCCACCAAACCCTTCAATTTGTTTTATAGTGGAGCAAGTAAGTTTGAGCAACAGAGCCCTGGGTTTCCCCTCCACAGGGTAACGTCTTTCAACATGTTTCCATACTGAGGTTTTGGTTTGTCCCCCTGCCCTCCATCTTGAGACAGGGTTTTATGTAGATGCAGGCTGGCTGGCTGAGGATAAATAGCCTCCTACATCTACCTCCCAAGTGTTGGGATTATAGGTACATACTTCTACATCTGTTTTATGTTGTGAAGGGCAATCAAACTCAGGGCTTCATGGATAATAGGCAAGCATTCTTACCAACTGAGCTACATTCACAGCCCTCTATATTGACTTTTAAAACAGTATTGGAATCCCTTGCACATGAAGGATCCACTTCGTAAATTTAAAAGCCATTGATTTTAGCCAGCCATGGTGGCACACTTCTAGCACTCAGGATCAGCGACTTTGTAAACTTGCATCCAGCCTGATCTATGTGGTAAGGCACAGGCCCACCAATCCAAGCTACATGATAAGTGCCTACTTCAAAACCAAAACCAAAATAAATGAAAATTACTCAGCTAACTAGAGAACATTTGAACCACACTGCTTAATGTGAATCATAACATCCTATCTCCCCTGCGTCTGTCCTGTAAAAGCTCTGAGCCAGCTAGGAATAAACCAAACAAAAACCCTATCCGGCTTCTTAGCCAGAATAACAAACCCCTTCTGCTTTCTTAGAAAGACCTACTCTTTTTCTTGGCACATTGTAGAAGGTCTTTAAAATTTTCCTGAGAGCCTAACGTGGGGTCAATCTGTTTCAAGTCGGTTCCATTGATTTCATCCTTCTGGTTCTTGTGAATTGGGCCCAACACTAGGCCCTTCACCTTCAGGGTGCTCAAGTACTCCAGATGCTTCTTCAGACCTATGAGGAGGACAGGGATGGGTTAACCAGTGGGGCATGAAAACCCCCCGGCCTCCACATTCTCTCCAACACTTTCCGACTCCCTATGGAGGGGGTTGAATCACGAGACAAAGTAGCTGAGGCAAAGGAGCTGACGCAAGGAGCCTCGCACATTACTTCAGAAACTGGTTTGGACTGGCTCAGGGGCCGCGTGGTTGGGGGTGGGAGGTGTTTGAATGTGCTGAGTCAGCCACCCTTTGGAAGAAGTAGGGGTCAGGTTAGCTTTTTCTTTAAAGAAAGGAGGGATTTTTTTTTTTTCTTTTTTTTGCCAAAGAATGGTCCCGGAAACAGGGTGCAGTGGAGAACCATCTGAGTTCTAGAGAGGGCGAGAAGGGAGGAAAGCAGCAGATGGCTCGAAAAGGAGGGAGCACAAGGGGAAAACGATGAGGTGTGCACCCCACTCACCAACTATCCCTCCGGCTTCCGGGCCTAGGAAGGCCTGAATGTCGCCGACGCGGTAGAGGGCGCCCTCGTGCCACCACCTCTGTACCGGGAGCTCACGGCAGCGCGGCGCCCGAACGATGATTACCACGGCTCCCGCCAGCATGCCAAGCCAGCCGAGCCAGAAGAGCAGCAGCAGCGCCCAGCGGGTACGCACCCAGGCCGGGCTGCCCGCTACCTTCAACAGCTCCTCCTTGGACAAGCCCGTGAACTTGGCCCCAGCCTCCCCCTCGTCTTCGGCCACCTTGATCTTCACCAGACCGTTCTTCTCCCCAGCCGCCGCCCCATCCGCTGCATTCATAGGCTGCTTCTCCGGTTCTATCTCGTTCAGCTCCACCTCTTTCATGTCCACTTCGGTGTCCTGGCTCATGGTGCCTGTAGAACGGGTGACACGACACGGCCTATGTTAGTTGGGCGGCTCGAATCGTGCCTGGACCTCCCAGCTCAAGTAGGTGTCCCGCGGTTGTGAGACTAGCTTAGCTTCCGTAACAGCTTCTGCCGCCTGGCGGGCGTGGCGGCGGAAAATGACCCAAGGGCTCCGCCCCGGCCCGCCCCTTAAAGGGATGCAGAGCCAGAGTCTGGGAAACTGAGAATGTAGGCAGGCACCCTATGCATAACAACTCCAATTTGTCCTGACCAGGTTCCAAAGCCCCTCCTCTGATCTTCCGGCCCCACTCCCCGGGAGGCCTAAATTCTCTCTGCAAAATGGCACCAGCTTCCTTCTCATCATCATCCCTTCGCCCCAGGCAGGGCTCAAGCTAACACCTGATCTTCCCAACTTAAGACCCTGGCACTACATCCCACTTCTGCTTTCTTCACTCTAGTTCTTATCTTCTCAGAGTCAGGTCCTGATTTCCCCTTGGGGCTTACACTCACTCACTTTTCAAGACTCCTTAAATTTAATTCCTCAGGTAGCAACTATTAACTGACTACCCACTCCAACCCTTTGTTTCATTAATTGCAAAGAATTAACTCTAAACCATTCTTCTCCTTGATTTAAATTTAATCTGGGAGAGAACTGGAGAGTGGAAGTGGACCCTGCCATTCTCATCCTACTCTAGTTACTAGTAAGGGAATGTTGGCCCACTGGGAATCACACATCCAGAAGAGACTGTACGGGGCTGTAATACACATTTCAAAGGCATTGAGGTATCTACCCCTTCAATGTACAAGATGTTCTCACTCAGTAAGAACTCGGTAACACCTTGCAGTAACTCTCAAACCCTCCAGTGTGCCAGGCTTCCTATATCACTTGACTATGCTAGGCCCTAGAGGCAGCTTTGAAAGTTCAAATCCTCCCTACCCCCCACCCCACCCCAGAGGTCCTTGGCAAGAGGAAGGTAAATGAGGCAGACTGGGTTCACAGCAGGGACAACTGGATATCAACTCTAGGAGTGCCAACACTCAGGAACTTCGTGTTCTTTACCACAGCCAATTGGGTTATTTTCAGAGAGAAGCTGAAGGAAACAACAGGCCTTTCTCTCTTTCCCACCTAGGCTGGCAGCCAAGATTGCTATGTATTTGAAAGAAAGCAGAAACCAAGGTCTGAGAGAAAGGGGTATGAAAAGTCTCATCACCTGCCAAAGATCCTCTCCAGCCTCACTAGAGAAAAGCCTATACACTAGTTCGTAGGAAGAGGCAATGTGGGTAGAACTTAAAATTCGTGCCAGTGCTCACAGATGATAAGAGGCCTACCTTGCCCTGGGCATGCCAGATAAGAAAGGTTCAGGACAGACTTTGTACCCAGCATGAAAGCCTAAGGTTTGTGGACTATGCCAGCAGAAGCGCTCCTTGAGGTGGTTCAATGAAATACTCCCTAGAAACAGTATTTCCAGCCAATCAGATGGCTCATGAGAGTAAGCCAACAAGATGTTCACCTGCTAAAGGTGCTTGCCCACCAAGCCTGACAATCTGAGTTCAACCCACATGGTGAAAAGAGAACTGGCTCCCAAAAGTTGTCCTCTGACCTCCATGTGTTCACAGTCCCCCACAAAATAAATACAAATTTAAAGTAACATACTCTCTCCCAGCCTCACAGTTCTGGGTGGCAAAAATTAATTCCAAAGTGTCTTGGAGAAGTGAAGCCTCCTCATTCTTCCCACCCAGCACGCCTTCCCAATCACCACTGCCCAGACACAGCAGCTTTCCAGCACCTTCCAATCTCACAACACATGCCTATTTCCAGTCTATGCCTCTGTACATGCTCTTGCTCTGCTGTTTGGCTGCTCCTGGGCTACTCTTCCTCATTCAAACTATAACTCAAGTGACAGCATTTCGACTCCCTAGAGTAGATTGTTTTCCCTCACTTGGATACATCACAGTGGGAGAAAGCTCCCATCTGGAATCACTTTCCCTCCACCTGTCATTCAGCACTGCTACAACTCAGGTCCCACCTTTGTTGTCTTTGTTTTTTTGTCTGAGTATCTGCACTTGTAGACAAGTGGTGAGAGCCTCATGCTGTTTTATCAGTCAGTCTGCTCAAATACCATACTGTAAGCCTTTCAGAAGTGTTTGGTAAATGAGTGGATGAACTGTCCCATTCAAACCCACTGTTCCCTTCTTAGAAGCAACTAAAGTTAGCACTGCTATGCCAAGATGAAGCACTTTGTGTAAGAAAATGAACCAAGACTTGTTAGGTTTAAACTAAAACGAAATGGTGGCAAGGAAGGGAGGACAGGAAAAGATGACTGTAGACAAAGAGGCCAGAGGTACCAGGCATGCTGGCATACGCATGTGTTGGTATAATATTCTTTTGGAATGTATACACCTTACCCTTGTTCATTCAAACACTGATCTCCCCCTCCCCCCGAGCGCCCACTATCTGGTTTCAATCCAGACATTGCATTTTGATGCTTATTCTAAGCATCACCTGTCTCAAGTTTGTGTAAACATGTCACCATTTGTTCTCTAAATTGTCAATTAAAACAACCAGCCACATTGCTGAGCAATGTAGAGGACAGGGTGGGACATCCTGGTATGGAGTGGGAGAAAGAGGAAGGAAGGAGGAGAGAGGAGAGGAAGAGAGGTCTTGGAACCACCTGAAGAAATGAACCGGACCTAAGATATCACTAAAAGCAAGGATGATAGGTGAATCTGAATGGTAGGAAATTATTTGGGCTTGGAGGTTTAGGATGGAATAACTATTGCCCAGCATTATATTCTAGGTTAATTAAATAAATCCTAGTCCCTGTGTGGTGATTTGGGTATACAGCTGTTTAGGAATAACCACTGATTAACTAAAAGATATATCAATAGTAAATATTAATATAATACAACACGCATGCAATCCAAGCATTAGGAAGTTGGAGACTAGAGGATCAGGAGAGTTCAAGGCCAGTCTCAGAAGCACAGTGAGGCAAGTCTGGGCTACAGGAGACTGACAGAGAGAAGGACAAGAAGAGGGAGGTCAAGATTCCAGAGAAAAGTAGAGAGCCTCATATCCTACTAATGTGTGTTGACCAACATAAATTTAAAGGGCTGGGAATGAAGTTAGGAGGAGGGGTGCTTGCCTACCATGTGCAAGGCCCAGGGTTCAATCAGCAGCATCTCAGGTATTGACGAATGAAGGGCTGGGGTTGTAGCTCAGTTCTTAGTGTTCCTACTTAACATCTATCCCTAGCACACATAAACCAAGCACAGAGGAGGCACAGGCTTATAATCCCATAAGCACATAACCTTCAACTATACAGAAAGTTTGAGGCCAGCCTGGGCTACATGAGACCCTGACTCAGAAACAAGCAAAAGCAAAGACAAAAAGTAAATATAATAAATATGCTGGATGTGTATATTATGTGGGGCTTTAATGATAACTGAAGTCCAAGAAAACGCCCAGAGGAGACATCTATCAAAGCTAGCAGGTATATATTGGTGAGAGGAGCATCTGCATCACTTAGAAACGAAGTGGTGGCTCCACTGCTGTCTAGAGCTGACAGTAAGAAAGGGAAAGACACAGCTGAGCCTCTGAAGATGCAAAGATGAGTAAGAATGAACCACATTTATTACATGTAACCAAAGTACAAAGTGACTAGGGAACAGTCAGAGCACATCCAGAACATTCTAGCCTGAGCTGAATGCTCTCTGACCCTATCAAGTCCTAATGTTACACAGATCTAGCATAGTCTTTGATAACATGAAACAGTTCTTTCAGGCTGAAGCAGAACCAAAAACTGGAAGCAATAAAAGCAAGTAGCCTAGACCCCCATCAGAACCACCACCATTTATGCACATGCAAAAAAGCACCTATGTAACACAGGATGTCTTGAATAGACTACATAGAGGAAGAAATGGAAGGATTTGTGGGTACCAGCTATTAATAAAGGATAGTCATATTCTGAAACAACCTTGAAAAACTAAGTAGAAGAGAACTTGATGTGAGAACACCCATAATCAAACACTCTGGAAGGTTAAGCCAGGAAGATCATACGTTCCAAGCCAACCTGGGCTCCAGAGGGAAACATGATCTTAAAAATAAATTAATAGTGGGGAGTAAGGGCCAGAGAGATGGCTCAGAGGTCAAGAGCACTGGTTGTTCTTCCAAAGGTCCTGAGTTTAATTCCCAGCAACCACGGGGTGGCTCAACAACCATCTGTAATAAGATCTGGGGGCCTCTTCTGACATGCAGGTCTACATGCAGACAGAACACTGTATACATAATAATAAGTCTTTAAAAGAAATAGTGTGGGGTAAAGAGATAGCTCAGTGGTGAAGAGCACTGATTGCTATTCCACAGAACCAGAGTTTGATTCCTGGAACACAACAGCTAACAACTGTAATTCCAGTTCCAGGCTCCTATGTACTTTCCTGGCTTCCAAGGGCACTGTACACACATGATGTACAGATAGAGGTGCAGGCAAAACCAAAACAAAGCAAAAAACCACACAAAATAAATAAAACTTTACATTAAATTATTTTTATCTATTAATTATACTAGGGTATAGTTCAGTAGTAGCCAAGCACACACAAGACTCCACAGTTCAATCCTCAGAACCATAAAAAAAACAGATAATTTACTTAGGGCCTGGTGAGATGACTAAGCAGATAGTAGCCTCTGCAGTCAAGAACTGTGACCTGAGTTCAATCCCTGGGATACACATCATGGGAAGAGAGAATCAACTCTCAAAAATGGTCTTCTGAACTCCACACTTGCTACTCACATGAATAAGTAAGTAAATAAATAAAAATAAATTATCAAATAAATACATAGTGTTAGGGGTATAGCTTAGTGATACAGTGTGTGTTTAGCCTGTTTAAGTCCTCGTGTTGGATCCCTAGAACAAACTAAGACTGACAGAATTTTTTCTCCACTTGGATCTTCTAGTTCCAAGTGAAGCTATACAGTCATTTGCACATTTCCTTTCTCCACGATAGGGAGGTAGTGCCTCTTGCTACCAGGTGGGGGCAGGGTTGTTCTTTGACAAAACATTCATCAGCGCTCTAACAGCAAGCTCATTTGCTTAGTAACCAGTGACAGTGAATCAATTGAGGCTGAAAAAGATCAGTCAAAGATA